TAGGACCTGTCGCAGTGGAAGACCAGAGATCTGGAAGAATGTGTCAAGGAAGACCAGACGTTGAAAATTTAAGATCATTGAGAATATTTGCAAAAACCTTGAAAAAGCAAGTTTAACTCTTTAACTGCTTTGTGGTGGAGACAGTGTTGCCACAGAGCAGCATGATGTTCTCACTGAATCTGGAAAATAGATTTTTTGGGTTGATGTGGGAGCCTGTGGATACTCAGTTTCTCCAAAGGCATGTATGGGTTAAGGCAATTGTGTGAGTTTACACACAAATTAGCTGCACAGAGGTTTAGCCAGGCCAATGAGTAACTCCTGTGCATTGAACTTGTGCTTAGGTTCTGTTTCTTGCTTGTGAAGGCTTCTGTCCCCTGCTGACTCTGTGTGTGGGTGCTCCTTTGCTTTCAGCATTCCGGCTGTTACTGAACCCCATTGGCAGCGCTGGCCCTGGGATTATTGCTCCGCTCGATCTGAAAAAGCAGAAGCACCACACAGGCCGGAGGATCTCTCCATGGGCCGGCACTGCTGTGGGCCTGGGAGTCCTCACACACACGTCTCCGGGGAGTGTGTGGATACCTGGAGCTGCAGGGCGAGGACTGCTGCGTGGGTCCGCGGACGTGATGTGATTGAATTGCGGAGCCCTCGCGTGGAGAACCTGATCTGGGCATCTGTCATTCCTGCAGTAGCCCTTCCTCCCCTGAGTGCAGGACAGCCTCACGGGCACTCAGACAGCTGACCTCTCTGCAGCCCAGATGCATCACAGCCTCACTGCATGCAGGTTCAACAGCACACTCTGCTCTGCTTTGTTTTTCACTGTTTTTCCCTGAAGCTTAACCATAAAGAGGCTGAGCACATTTTTTTTTTGCACTGATGGCTTTAGATAATTATGTACGGGGGACAGAAATGCCTGCAGCAAAGTGTGGTCTGAGTCAGCCAGGCTTATCTATAGCTGAGCGGAGCATGTGTTTACATTTTTTAAAGTGAAAATCCATATACTTGGTCAGTGACTCTAATAAGAGACTGGAGAAATGAATGGACCCTCACAGCTGATTGGCACCTCACACATTGCTCTCTTGGCAGCAGTTCCTGTGCCTTTGTGTGTTCCTTCTTCCAGCTATCGAACTCTTGACACCTGCCGACGTCTTCACACATCTTAAAGCGCCCACAATTCACCATTTCTGACCCCTTTACACAAGTGGGACACAACACCTGATGCAGAAAGGAACATGCACAAACACCTCTGCATCTGGCAGCCCTGTTCTTTGAGCTTCAGAGCCTTGTGCATGTGGGGTTTTCTGGCACAAAAATCAGTAAAAATTATATTTTGTGGGTGACAATAGAAGTGCTCATTTTAACATGCTGTGACTGCAGCCATGCTGTTGGTGTGAGCTTGTTAATGGTTTCCAAGACCTTCGTTTCTGCAGAAGGCTGAGAGAACTTAACTGCTCGCCATGTTCAGTTCAGGTGCTGGGAAGTAAAAAACGACATTCTGTATATGAACATGCCTCTGTATGATGTTTATATTATAATATTGCAATAATATTGCTCCAGACGGCAATGGGTATCAATAGCTCTATTCTAGACCAGGTACCAGACACAGGTGTTGAAGGTTTTCCAAGGCTCTACAGGACCCAGGCTGTTCGAGATCTCCTGGACCCCAGGCTCCAGCTTCAGTGTATAGCAGGAGTGTTGCTCAAATGCAGAGTCACCTGTCATTCTGGCCTCGCTATCCCAGAGTCCTGCAGGACCCCCTCCTGCCCTTGCTGATGTTCATGGACTGGGCACCTCTCTGATCCGGCTTTGCCACCTACTGGAGCTTTTCCAGCATTCCCTCCAATTCCCTTTTTGTTTTGTTGTTGCAGAGTCGTTGATAGACGTGCCTAGAGGTCAAGGTTACTACTGAGTGGCTGAACTGAGTTTGTAATCATAATAATGGTGGTGATGACAAAAATAATATTTTTTGTCATCCTTGGTTCTGCAGTGTCAGTTCTTTCTGGGAAATTGAGCTCAAGGTGACATCAACTCCGTGCACTACAGCATCTGTGGGTCATTTAACAGAACTGCGAGCTGCAAGAGCTCAGGGCTTCAGAAGTAAACCACTGGGTAACACAAAACTAGATTTACTCAAGTATTACAACTCTTTACTTTCCCCTGCATGGGGCTGTTGATGCAGGTGATAGCAGAGGGAAGGTGGCTGTAGCCCAAGCTGTTATAAAATCCCCTGACTCTACAGGGCATCATAACAGATGGAATCATGATTTGTGATTGCAGTGAACTCCTGTCTGTAGAACAAATAAAAACAGCACAGCAGGTGTCAGAAGAGTCTTCTTGAGATAAACCATCCATTTTGGGTGTGAAGGTTATTATTGGGACTGTAGTTCTGGTGGTTAATAAGACTGTGAGTGTCCTGGGAGCGCTCTCTGTACAGCGAGCGGTCACGATGGCCGGCCTCTGAGTGCACGTTGGGCTGGTCGTATCTGCACCACAGCGGACAGTCATTGTCTTCACGGGAGCATGGAGAATGGAGCAGCTCCTGAGAGGTATGCAGAGACCCAGGGTGCCTGTGGGAGTAGAGCGAAGGTTTGGGACTGAGCAGGGCTACAACGAGCCCTCGTGACCTGAGGTTTAAGGCTGAAGGTTCCTGAAGTGGTCGCCGGTCCAGGGTCCAGCCAGCCGATTCCAGTCCTCCAGGCCCCTCGAACCCGCAGCCACAGCAGCTCTGCGACCTGAAAATCAAACCGGAACAAACCAAGAACAGGAAGACGGCCCTCTGCCCTTCTCCGCTGACACTCCACGCCAGCAGAGGACGAGCTCCAGGCCGCTGGCGGTGTCGGCCCTGACAGACAGACGATAGCCGGCCGAGGGCATCAGTGCAGCCCCTCAGGAGACGATGTTCGTGTTCACGCTCCGGCCCGCAGTGCCGCTCAGCTCAGCGCCAGTGTGCACAGCCCACAGCACTCTGCTGCTCTTGAATCACCCGCCAGGATGCCCAAAACCACAGGACAAAATAGCAAAGCTCATTAAATGTTTCGGATGCTCCAGTCCACAATTAAAACAGATCTGCCACTCTTTGCTGTGATTATGAAGAAAAATGTTAAATGAAATTAAAATTTGTAGTGCAGCTTTGAATGTTTCAGCCTCCCGGCAGTACAAAAACAGATTTGTCCATGAACCATGAAGAGTGAAATGAAGATGTTTCAACAGCAGACTACTGTGCCTTCAGACTCAGCAGTCTTTCCAGATTTCTCTTTCCTTTGCAGCCCTGCTCTCGATGTGGTGACCAGGGTTTCCTGAGCTCCAGAGATGGGAGAGCAGCACTGTTGCAGCTGGCAGGAGAGTGTGGCCCCTCTCTCAGGGGAGCTGAGCATGTCTACGCAGGGATTAGAAGAGTCTGCAGAGCTGGGTTTGTAGGATCAGGCCCCTCAGGGGCACTGTAAGTGGTATGTGGGTTCCTGAATCAGATTCCTGATTATGTGGTTGAGGTGAACTAAAACCTCATGAAACACAAAACAGGTGGCCAGCTTCTGAACTAAGATTTAGAATAAATGTATTAGTTTAACTGCATGAAGTCAGTGTGAATCCTCTTTTCAAGAACATTCTTCGGGACAGCTAAGGTATTGTATACTTCATAAGTACCCTCTGCCTTATTGAGCACGAAAATGAAGAGAATATTTCAATAGCTTGCAGGCCCCTCTGTGGTTCACGCATCTCCAGGTTAGGGGTGGAGAGCGCTTGGCGCAATGCGGTTGCGCTGGGCTGTTGCACATATCCCTCGTGTTCTGTGTTTCAAAATCATGTGCAGAAACACACAACAACAGTGAAATGCCATCAGTCCACAGGTCAGTTTGCACAGAGAGGGTTTCTCCGGCAGTGATTTGTACAAACTCGGTGTGCTTTACAGGGCAGCAGACGCGGTCTGTTTTTATCGTTAAACTCGGCGCGTTGGGATTATCAGGGGAGTGAGCGATTCAAGATGATATTTCAAAACTGCGTTGCGCTGAATGTGCGATCCAGCCCTAAAGCTTAATTAAAATGTACATGTTAAATATCCAATATATGTAGGCTACTATCACACGCGTACGGTTACAGTAAATCTCTGTGCCCAGAATGCGCAGATCTAACCGGGATCTGCAGTGAAGGTGGTTAACACTAATTCCACGTTACCGACACTTTTCCGAAAAGAAATGCATTACAAAGGGAAGGGAGAAACCAATACATCTGTTTATTTTACAGACTGTGTATGATGAAATCATCGTTCATCGATTTTGCTATATTGTGTAGAAATGTATAGCTGTTCAAAGAAGAAACACCGCTAACGATGAATTTGTGGAAATGGGTCCGAATACAGAGGCCATCGTGCGTAACTGTTCCCTGCAGGATACCGGCGCTGTGAGCACAGTGGTGTACATTACAGCCTGCTACACAGTTCTAGTCGTTACACGGTCACCACGGCGCTGTCTGTCGCGCCCACTCTGAGCCACAGCCCCGGCCGTCCGGTCCGGCCGGAGGGGGGCTCAGTCTTGACCCAGCCTTGCGAGGTCTCCCTTAAACACACGGGGCGCCGGTTGTGCTGCCGCAGTGAGTCGAGAAAAAATTAACCCAGACCTCTTGCGCTCAACAACCCCCAGCTGTCCAAATACAACGATCATCGAATATCAATAGGCAGGATTAGATGGAGAGTCTTAAAAAACACAAACGGTAATTTAGTTTCATATAACGGTTTATTCAGCAGAACAACAAATGTGTTCAAATTCACGAGGAATGACAAACACCCTGGCTGAGGGCTGGCCTCCCGGCCAGAGGACAAGGAGACCAGGACCCCCCTGCAGGGTGACCAAGGGGCAGCTACAGAGGTGGAGATGGGCTGCAATAGAGAGAGAAAAATATAGGGATCTCGTAGGTATTTATAGCGTTTGGGAGAGGAATGGATTGTCAGGAGCTATTGCTAATTACTGACAGGTGAGTCTGATTGAGCTTGGTTGTTGTCATCCCTCCCGAACTTTTGTTATAAAATCAATTTAAACGGCGGAAGAGAGGTCGTGCCAGTGATCGTCCGGCCCCGGTGACCTGCAGGGACTATTGATTAGGGTATTCGCATCAATTGACTTTGTGATTAACACGAGACACGAGTGCGATGTACAGGTTTATTGATTCTGTCCACGCCGTGTTCGTGAGGCCGGGGGTCCGGGGCTCTGTGCAGCGGTACCCCCGGAGGGAAGCTGCCCAGGGCGGAAAAGCAGTTGACGCCGTGGTCCGCTGAGAGGAGCTGAAGGGGCGATTTGAGTCAGATACGTCACAGGATTTAATAGCTCTCGTTGCTGATGGATGACTCTAGTCCTCGCGTAGTTACTACGCAGAGAAGTTGGAATGGGTACAGAAAAATAGAGATAAGGGGGATATTAATGTTCCTCCATAATGTCGCCTCTTCCTGTAACTTTTTGGCACAGTTCTCTGTCATCCAATGGGGTTTGGATGTTTTTTCACCCTTAATTATAGCCACCCACGGTCTAGCGCTAGTCACCGCGGTCAATGCCGCAGACGCTCGGCGTTGGGCTAGCGCGCAGTCCGGGAAGACCGCCCCTGGGGAGCTGCTGTACACAGCCGTCTTAACCCCAGCAGTTTGATGAGAAAGACCACCAAGGTAATGATTTCAGTGATGGCACCACTTTTACCACGCAGTCAAACCGCCCGAGTGCTAAACAAATACACACTCCGTGTTTATGTCACTGTCCCTGGCTTTGTTGTAAATACACACAACGAAGAACACGTGTCCGCGTCCGGTGCCTTCTTCACTGACTCATCACTAAAGCGTTCCACACTATTTCACTTGCAGACAGGAGCCCAGTCTTATCTACAGGCGAAATCCCCACACAAGCCCGTGAATATAGACTAAATAGTCCACTCTAAATGGTATGTTCCGCTGTGTTTAGCTCCTGAAAGTCGCGGCGTGCTGTTTTCACAGGTGCGCTGAGGGTCCCTGACGAGCAAGGTGTGAGCTGAGGCGCTCGGGCACCCTGCGCGAGAAGTCACCTGCTCCCACCTGTGCAGGTCGGTCCAGCAGAGCGGAGCGCGACCCTGCCCCCAGCCTCGAGGACCCTGCTGCTTCTGCGGCCGCTGACCGGGGCGTAGGAGTGACGTCACGGGGACCGTCGGAGCAAGGAGCTGGAGTGGCTGTTTCTGGGTTCTTGGATCCTGTTAGTGTACCGCTCCCCGCCTGACAGCCAGCCGACCCTAACCGGCGAGAGCACGACATCGCGAACGGAAAGCCTCGTCGCGCTGTCTGTCCCTTCTTCTCTGCTGGATTATGTGTCCTGCCTGATCAAACCCGGATTCTACCTGCTTCCATTCCGCGCGCTGGGAGATGTGCCGCTGTGCTCTGGGGACTGGAGATGCTACCGGACCTCGACGTCTTCAAGGTACCGCTTTTTTATAAAACAAAAAACGCTTCTATGTTGAATTCAAGCGATTGTGAAAATATAAAAGTGCTAAATGTGTTCTTTTCGTATGTTAATCTCTATCTCAAGTGCGATTGCTAAACTTGCAAGTTGAAGTTTAACGGGACTTGGCACTTCACACACGTTTTTCTATAATCCCTCTCTTCGGTAGAATCAATTGTGTTTATCTTCTAATATCCTCAACACAAACCGTCGCTTTACGGCCATCTAGTCAACTTAAGTGGTTTGTTTTTTAACAGGCTGTCCGTAAATGTTCGAAATAACCTCATTATTGCTTTTGCAGTTATTGTAACACCCTTGAACCCCGCGTTAAATACTGTACAAATGAGATCATTCGGACTTGGCGAGGAGGGACGCGAGCCATTGTTTTTAACAATGTTAAGATAAACAGAAAAGGGCTACTGCACGGCAGCGGAGTGGGGAGTCAAATAGGAAAGGAAGCACCGAGTGGAGAACCGCTGGCGGGCTTGACGGCGTGCGTGTCAGTGTCTTTCAGGAGCTCTCGCTCGACCTGCTGTGGAGCTAGTCGGTGTTAAGGAGCTAATCGCTGCCGCGGGTGGAGAGCCGGGAGACCGGGGCTGCGCTGCCCCGCGCACGGCCTCAAGTGACAGGGTGTTCCGTGGGCTTGGCCAGGCTCAGCACACTAGGAAAAGACGAAGCTACAGGAGCTGTGACGTCCTGTTTTAAAAAGGGTCATCGCCCCATTTTAAACTGGACGCTTCTCAATTCGTTTTGTTTCTCCGTCCGCCGGGTGACCGCACTCCCAGCGGTCGTTTCCGTGCACTCACGCGTCCGAGACAACTCGAAATCCTACATCTTCCGTTTGTAATGCATTTCTTACTCCTCCACAAGAGCGAGAACAATTTGTCTCATTTAGAAAAGGTATGTCTTTCTGGGGGAGGGGGCCTGGATGAGGGCGAACTCGCCCCCTGGTCTCTCCTCGCATGAAACACCCGCCCGGTTGGAGTCAAAGGTCTAAAATTCACTCTTTCACAACCCCGGAGACCGGGGCGCTTCTGTTCCGAGTGAGTAGCATTAGGTGTACTTTTGGATTCTGAGAACTGATAAATATATTGTATTCTGTACGCGTCCTGATGCATGAGTGCCAAGCGTGGGGACAAGTTGAATACAGGACAAATCGATACGCACACAGATCAGGGTATCTTAAAATGATCCACCCGGCTCATTTTGCCAGTAGTCCTCGCTAAAGCTTCTGAAGTGGTTGTTTCGGTTACTGGTGTCCCATGTATTTTAGCTAATAATTTCTAAAGCGGAGTTGAGATGATCTGATAATTGACTGGCGATGGGTTTTTCCTGCGAGTCTCCCAGCCTGCAGTCCTCTCCAGACGCGCAGACCGGGACAGGACCGTGCAGGAATGTGACAAAGTTGGCGCGTGTTGGTCTAGTATAGACACATTCCCGAGGCAGCGATGGTGCTCCCAGCACTGAGAGGCTTCGATGAGCGCTCGGAGCTCGGTTTCCTTTAGGAGAATTCCGGGGTCTGATGGACACAGCGAGCCGGCGCGCGTTGTTGGGCTCAGGTCTCAGTTTCATGAATCAATTAACTCATTTAGTGCGTATGACTTAAAGAAATGTTTGAAATGAATACATTTGCAGGTATTCACTAATTTAGAGTGTTATCTTAAGAATTTAATATATATCAATCACCCCGGTATCTCTGTAAAAAGCTAAGCTAAGCTTTTCAAGCATTAGGTAGGTAGCCATGCAGTAAGGAAACTGTATTCCCTTCACTGCGGGTGACAAGGCTTCTGGATTATTACCTGCTAAGGGAGTACATTTTAAAACTTCTAAATTGTGTATTTGCGCCCTGGCAGCATGAGACAGTTTCATAAAGGGCTGGGGACGAGAAGGATCTCCTGCAGAGCGAAGTGAGTTTTAGTGTCTGAATCTTTCAGAACCAGAGCACACAGCAGCGCTGATGCCTGACAAACATTGAAGATCCAACAAGACGCTGCTGAGACGCCCGATACCGCACCTGTAGTCTACAGTTCTGTATATCCGACTACGTCAGCAGGGTCTTGTGCACAGTACAGCTACACGTTTGTCCGGTCTCTGGGCTTTCCCGAAGGCTCGACACCTCGGCGCTTTCAGCTCCGACTGAGCGAGGATAAAATCAGCGAGGTGTCATTAGGAAAAAAGCCCTTATGGGTGTCTGTTAAAATAAAAAATGGAGGTGTGCGAATCTGACCATTTTGTGTATAAAGCGATACATTCCCCAGTGCGCGAGTGCTGTGTAAGCAAAGGAAGCACATTGACGGCCACTGGCCATATTATACAAACGCATCAACCGATTCTGCACTTTGTCTCATCATTAAGAGATTGCAATTAGTCAGCATCCGATTAATATATGCCTCGCGCTGTTGTTTATCCTGTAGAAGACGCACATTTCCTAAGCAAGCGGTTTTACGAATGCCGTTTATCATGAGCACTTTTTATCAGTCCTCTCGCCGATTTCCAGCGCTCACGACCTCATCGCTAAACCTACAGTAGGCTTCCACTTCCTGTGCTTTCTGCTTCGTGTTTTTATTTACGCATTTGCGATGATCGTGCAGATTGCTCAGAATGTCAGGCTGCACGGCCTAATAAAGGAAACCGATTGACTAACCACCGAAAGCAGAACCCTCCGACACACGGCCTGATCACAGTAGCAGCAGGTGAGGGAGGCAGCCTGAAGTCGCTGAAGAGGTCAGACCGCTGAGGAGGGCGAGTGCACAGCGACAGACGCGGGTTAGGACGGTTTTAATAAAGCAATAGAGCTACATTTTGTCTTTCTGCTTTTATATTTCCTAAAAGCAATTTGTACTGTTAAATAGCGACCACAAGACGCAGAATATTAACTCGACAATTATTTTTTCGTATGTTTACTTAATCTTGTGTATGGATTGTGGGTAACCCCTGTGGGTGTTTGTATATATTCCAGTTATTCAATGGTAATGCTCTGTGGTCGGTGGGATGAGGCATTCGGAGACCACAGAGCGCTACATCCCCTGCTCACATGTAAATCCTTCAGGAGTACAAGTCTCTGAGATGTTTTTTTTTAAGATACCAAAACAGTCGGTAAATCAGTCATTGATTGGAATTCCATAGATGCCGCAACAACAGCGCTTTAACCCGCTGGCTGTAGTTGAACAGTAAAGGTGCTTTAGCGAGGGTTTAACTGGATTGAGGGCGGCGTGGATTAAACATTTACCGCCTTCTACTTGGGTTTGTAGCTGAAATTTCACCAGCGTGCTGTCATCTCCCCAGACTTGGGCTGTGTAACAGATTGCTGTGATTTATTTTGTCAGAAATAATCCATTATGTTTAAACTTCAACAAACCGGGTTTCTGAGGGGCTAAGCTACAACACACAAGAGAAAGGAGCCCACCCACGCGATGGCCTCAAAGCAAAGGACTTTCTTGATTAAGTGCAGGATCCCTTCACAGGGCAGTTTCACTCCTCGCACTCGGCGCAAAAGACGAAACAAGAAACGTCCTCCCTCCGAGATGAGCAGCTCAGACTTGTGATTGTGCCTGAGCTCTTGGACCGCAGGATGATTAGTGCATCGTGATCTGACTCTGACTTGTTAACTGCTGTTTGACCACCTTCAGTCGTAGCCTAAAAGACGCCAGGGAAGGGATATGGAAATGTTTGCTAAAAAGACAGACGTCGCATTTTGTACTAAACCCTTTAAGTGCCTCGTTCTAATATTGAGACAGGACAGACAATCGTTTCGAGACTTGTCCTTTTTTTAAAATATACTGTATTCCGTCTCACTTCAAACCAAGGGAGGCTGTACGGACACCAGCTATGACTACGAAGCGTTTGTCTTCATTACCACGCGCGTTTGCAGTTGAATGCGTTAACCATAAACCTCACTGTGAAATGACAGCAGCTGACACCCACACATACTGAATGAGCACACTCTAGACCTGTCTTCCCAGAAACCGGCCGGAGCGCGTCTCTCGAAGACCGCGGTGGCGGGGGAGTCGCTGGCTCTGCGCTCGTCTCGGTCATCGCCAAGATCCGACAGTGCATGATGGCAGAGGCGCAGGACTCCACACACGCACCTCGTATTTCAATGCCTTTGCTTTACTTCATTTCAGAGGTAAAAATCTGACCTGCGGAAGCCGCGGTACTTGACGCGCACAGCACTATTCCGAGCTCACCTGTCAACGCGGCACGAAAGCAATAGAAAATCATGATGGACGTCTGCTGTCAACGGTGGTCTCCGTTTATCTGTTTCCCTGCGTTTATGTCGCTCCCTGTTTTCCGTTTTCAAAGCCTGAATTACGGAAACAGTTTCTTTAATTTTTTGATTGAGGACCCCAGATATTCCTTATAACAAAGCCATCTGATAGAACAGCTGTCCTAAATTTCATGAGTTGCGTTTCCCGCTCACTGTGTCCTGCTGAATCAGGACAGTCTGTTACTTGAAATGCTTCCTTAACTGCAGAAATGCAAGGAAACCATCTGAGTCATACCGTAATTCAAAGGAACAAGTAATAGGTTTATTCCATGCTGAAAAGAGAAGAAAGAAAACGCAACGTTTCGGCTGTGAAGCCTTCGCACCTGAAAAAGGCTCCAAGGACAAAACGTTTTTATTTTTCTCTTTTCAGCATGGAATAAACCTTTTTCTTGTTCCTTTGCAGCCTACGTATGCTGACGCAGCTTCCCACCTGAACTACGTCATACCGTAATTCAGTTTAAATTATGGCTTCATAAACTGAAATTGGTCTAATGAGACACAATCAGGGAGGGAGATATTCAGCAGAGATCTCTGATGAATGACACCCGCTGTCCTTTGGACACCTCGGTCTCCCCGGGGATTCTGGGATTGCTCCTCAAACACAACGTTCCCATGCTCTCAGACCGTGAGAGTGCTTGTTAATTCCGGTTGTTTCATTCGCATTGCGCGCCTCCTCTGAACAAGGAGAGTGAGGAGTGTGAGAGCATGTCTATGATCGTGATCCTCATTCATGGGCCTGCAGAGCTGAGTCCCTTAGAGGTCTCCATTTTCCTGAGCTCTCTAAGGCATTCCTTCAAGAATTATTGATGTAATTGGTCTTCAATGACCAATAATGGAGCAACATATTAATGTACGTCTTAGATGACCCCTCTCATCCACTCTGGGAGGAGGTACCAGATCCCCTGTATAAAGACAAACGCAGCATTTACTTCCTTTATACCTAAAAGCATTCAATTGTTGAACAATGGGGAAAAAATATTTGCAGGTAGGGATCTTATGTTTTTTAGACTCCTTATAAGCTAATTGTCTTTTTTTTTTTAATCATATGGTACTGGGAGAGTTCTGACTGAGTGATGTTGTAAAAGGTTTTTTATTATGGTGTTGTACCATTGTATATGTTATGTTTGTTATAGGATTATGAGCTCTTTATGTGCCAGACAAATTCCCCTTAGGGGCAGTAAAGGTTAATTTAATTCAATCCAATGGTTCGTGTTTCCTCTGTAATCTGGAGGGTTGTGGTTTCCCTGTCCCAGGAGTGAGGATCTCTGCCTCATCAGAAGACCGCGCTGAGTGTAGCCAGTGTTCTTGTTACGGAGGGTGTCTGCAACTTTCTACTGTTCATACTGGGACAGCACAGTGGTGCTGCCTCACAGCCCCTGGGTTCTGGGTTCGTTTCAGGGTCGGGCTGTTCCAGTGTGGAGCTTGCTGGCTTATGCCTGTGCGCTGCGTGTCCTAGCATGTACCAGGAGCTGGACTGGGGGCCCTTCAGGGAGTGCTCCCACTTTGTGCCTTCTGCTGCCAGGATGGGTCAGTGTTCAGACACTCAGCAGGGACGGACATCTGTCTGGAGGCTGATCTGTGGGTGTTCATAGCCAAAAGCTGTCACCTGTCTAATTTGGGGGTAGTGTTTGCGGTTTGCTCTGCAGTCTATTGGATATATGAGACTTTGGACCTCTAGTGGCACAGCAGTAAAACAATTTGCTGCAGGTCATTGCACTACAAGCCTGTACTGATATCTATACAGTGGAACAGCACTTGAGCTTGAGCTTTTTCCTGCTGCTCTCTCGGTCCGGAGCTGGAGATGCAAAGGCGTGTAGGTTTCTCTGCTGGCCAGCTGTTCTCCTCGGGGCTCAGTGTGAATGTGACTCCAGAGGGAGAAGGAGAGAAGGCGGGAACCTCGGTCTGTGAAGGAGGGGGTGTAGTTATAATAAACCGACTTTACACTTATATAGTGCTTTTCTATACCCTCCACTCAAAGCACTTTACAGGTAATGGGGATCCCCTCCACCACCACCAATGTGCAGCCCCACCTGGATGATTGCCCCACCTGGGTGATGCGCCAGTCCTCTCCCCACACACCAGCTCTCAGTGGGGAGGAGAGCAGAGGGATGAAGCCAGTTCAGATATACAATTTGGGGAGAGAAACGGGGACAGTGGGACTTCGTGATTACCATGAGAGAAAGTGGTTTGATTACGTCCCAAAGTGATATGTGCTCATACAGGCTACCAGCAGTGTTGGCACATTTTGGTTTTGAAACAACTAGGATGATTTAAAGCACAACGAATGTAGACCTAATGCTCAGAAACTCCTCGTCTTCAGGTTGCGAGTGTTGCTGCGGTGAAGGTATTTCCTCTTTCCGACAGACCTGGAGCCTCAGAATTCCCTGTAAGTCAGTCTCTTTGTCATACGCTTCATCGTCCTGTTGGCCCTCCATGCATGGTGAGGTTGACGGCTGGTGATAAATTACTCAATACCAGTCAACGAGTTGTACAGTATGTTTGCTGTGTGGAAATGGGGGAAATGTGCAGTTTTGCAGGAAGGGCTCTGAGCTGATAGCTGCCGCTTGGGGCTCTTGGAGGCTGAGGGGGGGGCTCTGGCAGTGGAAGGCCGAGGGGCTGAGCAGCCTGTGGGAGGAGGGAGACCAGCAGAGTGCCTCCCTGCCGTGTCTCTTTAAGAGGAGACTGTCTGAGCCAGGCTGAGACTAAGCAGACACCCTCCACATTCGGGGAATAAATAATCACTGCAGCGAAGCAGTGATAAACAGTGTCGTTTCTCTGGGCAGGTTTGTCTGCGCCTCTGGATTAAAACCGTCAGGCTGCTATGCAGTGGATCGGCCCTTTTATCTTCGAGAGTCTGAGATTCCACGCATTTCTGTCGCGTGATGGAAGAGCAGACAGGAGACGCAGAGTTCATGACTGGAAGCCTCTTCTTTTTTTGGAAAGTGCTTTTTTTAATTAGGCTTTCTAGACCCAATATAATGGAGTACACATGTAGTGACATTGTCTGTACTCCTATCAATGATAAAAAAATAGGGCAAAGAGACAAGATATATGAAACAATGAAAACTTCAGGTCCCTGTTCAAGGTACTAAACTAATGTCAAGAACATGGGCAATGCAGTTGGTTGTAACCAGAAGGCACTTCAGTAAAAGGGATGTGAACTGCCCCTCAGCTGTCTTCTCAGTAAAGGTGTTTATTTCCTGTGCTCTCTCAGATCAGCAAGTGGATCTTCCTGATTCCATTTCAATGTTGTATATCTTTTGGCAGCAGTCAAAGCAGTTTGAAAATGATCAAGCATAGCAGTCAAAAGGCTAAATGCTGTAGTATCTTACAGAATGGCAGATTGTGGGCATAATGTGCATCTTTCTGTAAGACAGGCCTGAGAAATCCTTGTGATGCTGGGCACCGGCACTGCGATGTGGGGCCAGAAGTCCATATCCTGTGCAAAAATGAGTCCACCTTGACCATAGAAGAGAAGTACAAACAATTATGCATGTGTTAATCTGATTCAGTCGACACAGTCCTGGGTGAGATTTGTTTCCTGTATTAATATTAGACCTCTCAGTTGGTACACAAATATCTTGGTATAGCTCAGCTGTAAGAGGAGATTGTACAGATCTCTGCTATTTGTTTTCCAGTTAGTCTTCAAGGTTGAGTTCTGCAATAAAGCGTGGCGGGTCTGGGAGGGCAGAGTGACTGGGGTGGGCTTGAGAAATCACCCTGCCCATGGTGTGGCTTTAACAGACGCAACCGGCTTCGGCTGTCTATATCTAAAGCACTGAAAAGCTATTCCTTACGTCAATGAAAGAGAGGGATATTTCCCTGAAAAAAATCACCTGTTTCCCAAGTAGCTCTTCTTTCCCATCATTTTAAAAAGTCCCTCACGTCTTGAGCCTGCTTGGGAACAGATCAGGATACTGTACGTCCGGTTCCGTCTCCATCTCGCTCGCTCACAGCAGCACGAGAGCAGAGAGCAGTGGGAGGTTGATGTTATCAGAAAACTGCTGTTTAATACAACTGGCAGGCTGGAAATCTGAATTCTTCATAGTTTTCATCAGCAAAATGTTAATATTTGTCTTCCTTCCTGTTTGAAAGGTCTTGGCTTTGTTAATGCAGAACCCTA